ACCACCAGCCATCCCAATGCAGGGATGGATTTCTTCCTGGAAGGAAGAAAGTGTGGCCTTCCTTTCCCAGGGTGCAGTCTGGGACCTTAATCCCATGCAAACTTTTGACACCCCTTAGATCACACTTTTTTCTTAAGTTGATTTTATTCCCATTTTCTGACTTTAAAAAAATGAATCCCTCTTTATATGACAGTCCTTCAGATATTTAAAAACTTCTCTTCTCCAGAGCAAGTCATCTCAGTTTTTTTGTCTTTAGTAGGTCTACCTTTAAAGCAACTCATACGTTTGAGCCTTTTAAAACTACCTATAACTTAAATATTAAATCATCTACATTACCAAAGTGAAGGAGACTGTATAAGATCATGTATTTACCTATTCTGAAGTTTGGTTTGCTTTTATATGTTTACTTGTATGAGGTTGTCGTTTTGAGGTTTGGGGCAAGATGTCCTGTTGGGGACACGTTGGGTATTGGGAAGAAATTTGGGGCTTTGGCCCCTTTAAGGAGCTGAGTTGAGTGAGGAGAAAGGGCTCTTAGTGCATAAGGTAGGAGTGAGCTGAAGACCAGAACATTTTGTGCTGATCTTCTGAAATGAGAAACTCAGGCAGTGAGAGAAGAGGGGAGAAAGGAAGGCAGACAGGCTGGTTCCACCGGAGACAAGGTGGAGAATGACCTGGAAGCCAGGAAATAATCGCGATGGTTCCAAAGCAACAGGGAGAGGGGAAGGAGCTCGCCCACACCTGTCCCCCGAAACGTAACCATAACCTCCAGGGACAGGTGGGGTCAGGAGCCAACGAGGTCTAGGATGTGCTGGAGATGAAAGTGCAGAGCTTTCCTGCAGCTATTAAGGAAATCAGTTTTGGGGCGTAAAGATACTTAATTTGAACATAGAACTTTTTGAGGTCACTTTAACCGTTGAGGCTTTATATGCTTATAAGATAAACACAGACATTAATCCTTTGCTGTGTGGATAGAAGCAGATCCAACGGACTGTATCACACGTTATATTCCCTGTTTTAGTAGAGTGCAGGAAGCGCTTGACTTGAGGTCTGAAAACTGGAGCTCAAGTGACCGGAGGAAGTCATGTGATCTTTCTGAGTGCAGCTTCCTTCTCTGCAAAATGTCTTTGATCTGTAACAATCTGCCTTCCTCTCGTTTCTTGCAAGAACTAAATGAAAATAAAAGCACGCTTTCCAGAATACAAGTTCTATAGAAATGTAGTGCTATTCCCTGGAGTAACCACGCCTGAAGGAGGCCATGCCTTTGTTCTAAGCTACCTTAAACAGAAGCGCCCTTGACCATGGTGTGGCTGCAAGCTGGACAGTCCTGGTGCTGGGAGGAGTTAACAGATCTCCAGGGCTCTTGCATAAAGGCTACTGAACCCCAGCAGCCTCTTCCTAACACAGGCTGCTGCACTGATGATCTGTGACAGGGGTCTTAGATGACCTGGGCATTCAGCAACACTATCTCACCTTCCTTGTGTGGCATTATGCTGTCACTTGCCCTGACCCACAGGCTGACTTTCCAAGTGGCCCTCTGCCACACCTGTAGTGCACTGGTTCTGTCACTAGGGGACACTGGAGTGACTGACACATGAGGTCCCTACCTAGCCTCTCTTCATAACTCTGCTTCCGTTCCAGGAGGCTGAGCCACACCAACCACACCACACTCTTCACTGACCCAGGAGATCATTACATTTGCAGAGCACCCAAACCACTTTTCCTCGCATGGCAAGCTCTGCCTTTTACTTGCTCTGTCAGCTCCTGCAGTCCAGAAAATCTTCTCCCGTGGGATCTGTGCTTCTTGACTTGCCTACTAAGCATGAAAATTTGCCCTGAAGCTAAGCTCTTCAAGACACATGATTTAAGCTTCTCTTTCAGCTAATTAGATATTGTTCTACAAATTGGGCTGTTCTCTCTGAAAGATGAGCAGCAATTTATCTCTCCTGCCCTCTCCTTAAACTTAAACTGAACTGTAACACACAGCCATTCGATTGTTTAGTCCAATCAGATTATTTTGCACGAGGAATGGATATCCATCTTCTTGCTAACATTGAGCCTGTTTGGACGTTCCTTACCGGCTGCTGTGAAGATGGCAGAAGGCTCAGCTCAGATGCCTCTCTTCCTTTTGAAGGTGGGCCCTACAGTCATCTATTGTGGCCCATGCATCCATAATCATGGCCTGAGTAACCAATCGCTAACTGCAGTAACACACCTTGACCCTTGTGGGTGGGGGGGATGTTTATTATCCCCATTTTACTGATAAGAAAACTGATGCCCAGGAAAATCAGGCCACTTGCCTAAAGCCGAACAAATAGGTAAGTGGAGGAGCCAGACTGTGAACCCATCTCTTTGGTCCTCAGATCCCATGAGCCTGTATATTATCTGATAAATCAGCCTCAGTTGAAGAGGGGAAATGCAGGATGGTGCAGGGTTCCCACACACTGTTTGAGATCCAGTGAGGATTTCTTACAGCTCTTAATGAAGTAACATGAGGCTCTGTAAAATCTTCTCTGATCCAAGGGGCTCTTACACATAGTGGGAGAAAGGACTCTTTCTGAAAGTTGCCTCTTTTCCTGTGCAGGGGGCCGGATATTCCCTCATCCTCAAGACTGTGCCCAGCATTTGATGAATGGAGACACTCTGAGTGGGGTTTACACCATCTTCCTCCATGGAGAGCTAAGCCAGAAGTTACAGGTTTACTGTGACATGACCACGGACGGGGGTGGCTGGATTGTAAGTACGTGCGCCTGTCCTCCATGCAAACATCCTGGGTGTTCTAGTCCACCCTGCTCAGCAGCTCAGCGCCTAGCAACCCAAACTTCACCATCCTCTGGCCATCCTTTCATCTACCCCCACATGTCCAACTTAGGGCTCTTCATTGCCCTCAGGGCCCTTGCTCAGCTGCCCAATCCTAGGTTTGGCCAGGCGGAGGGAGGAAGAAGCATATTAAGGTTGCAGTGGCCCGGCCCAGTGAAGGGGCCCCAGGAAGACTGCTCCTTCTGTGGGGACAGTTCATGCAGGAGGGTGCCAGGGAATTGGACTAGGGGCTCACTTAGGCCCACGGGTCTTGCGTGCTGAAGACTACAGCTATAATAAAGGAATAGAGGAGGCAGCTTCTCTACAGGAGGAGGAGAGCCTCTATGCAGAGGTGATTAGGATCTTTCTACTGGAGGATTGCATATGCAGGAGCAGATGAGGGGCAGAACATGGATAGCCACTTTTAGTTACAAAGACCACCCCTGTCCCATCCTTCCCTGGCCTCCCCGGTTCTTCCCCAGAGCTGTCACAGCCTCCAGGGAGCACCAGTGGTTGGGAAAAGAGAGACACCATTTCCTGTCACCACCCTCCTCCCATGTCTGATAGGGCAGTACAGAGGGAAGAGAAAGGGCAGCCTCACAAATGGTCCCACCTTTCAGGGCAGGGCACTGGGCGGGGGGAGAGTTCTAGCAGCCTGGCCCTAGAGTGGGCCTGAGTCGGTGCGTGGTGGAAACCCAGCCCCTCCACCTACCCTCCTGTGGATCCCCCTCCAGCGCTGCTAATACACAGCGCCAGATTTTTCACGGTGCAAAATGGATAGTTTTTGAATGGAGTTAAATGGTAGCTGTGCTCCTAACAGCTACTCTTGGGAGACATTTTCTTTTATGTTTCTGACATATTTGTGCCTCCTTCTTAAAGCATAACTAGAACTTGAAGCTGAGGCTGATGTATTGGAGGTTAAATGAAATTAGCACTTAGCTCGGAAAGTGAATGATATGCAGTTGCTTTGCCTGCGATAGGACAATGACAATTATGAGCTGATTTGAAGCTGGTCCCATTCTTTTGGTGAGAAATGCTTTCTCCTGCATTCCATGGTGCAAAAAACTAATTTGAGAGCCAAGCCTAGTTCCCCTGACTATTTGGGGGTTTGATATATCCTGAATCCCTTCTACATTGCAGGGGTGCAAATTAGTGTCAACATCACACCATGGTCTATTCGTCAGGGGACTCTGCACTTCAGAAGGGCTCTGAGCATCTCCTACAAAAACGGCTGTGCAAATACCATGTTCTGTACTGTGGTGTTCCTTATCTGAGCATCTTTGTCGTTGCAGATATAAAACTCCGTTATAGCAATTTCACTCATTAGAGTTCATTTTCCTTAGCATTTTTTTCATGATTTCCACCTTTCTCTTCACAGGTATTCCAGAGGCGGCAGAATGGCCAAACTGATTTTTTCCGGAAATGGGCGGAGTACCGTGTTGGCTTCGGGAACCTGGAGGATGAGTTTTGGCTGGGTAACGCCTCCTGTTTGCTTTCCCTTGGAGTGATGCTCTGGCTTTTTGTGCCTCTCTCTCCTTTCTGTTTCCATCTGGGATTATCCAAAACCCCGTCGAGAAGCTGACAGCTCGTGAATTGCTTTCAGTACCTCTTGCTCAGTTTGGCTCCACGATTGATCTGTTTTTATCTTATTGTGGTGTTTTCCTCTTTGCTCGGTCTCTTCCCATCCTCATTAATAGTCTCTTATGCTGATGGATCTTGACATGAGGCAACTACAAAGGGAGTGAACTGCCTGGTTGGGGAAGGGGGCACAGGGAGCAACAGGCTAGTTGGTCATCTCTCAGAAGCGAAGCCCAGCCAGCCAGCCTGCGGGTCAGCAGAGAAATGAGGCAGTCACTCTACTCTAGTTTCTGAGAGGAGTGTTATTACCTGACTTGAGAAGGGAAGGGATAAAATGAAAATGGCATTAGAGGTGACCAGCAATTTCCTGGAGGTCTGACACAAGCAGGAGGTGTAGATTGAGAACTGAGCTGGTGTGAGAAGGTAAACACACCTGACCCGGGCAGATGGCCATGGAGCCAATCCCAGAAAGCAAGGGATTTATTCTTACCTGCATCTGCTTCTTGGTGAGATTTTCATAGTGATTATAAAGGGAGGCAGGGGCAAGGCGAATAATTGTGTCCCAAATTTGTGGTCTCTTGTCTGTCTCCCCTGTCACTAACTCATCCAGGCCTCACTGTCTTTTTCCTGGATGCTCATATAACATCCTCCTAACTGGCCTCCCTGCCTCCAGGACCACCCACTGTCCACATGGCCACTAGAATGATCTTGCTCACACCCAAAATCTGAGCAATGGCTAACCTCATTTGTAAAACTTTTCAATGACTCCTTGTCACCACCAGGTGAAGGCCAAGCACCTTAGCTAAGGTACCCAAAGCCCACTCTAGGATACCTCTGGAGCCTATTCCCCACCACTAAATGCCTCACTCCACTCCCGCCACTCCAACACCAAATTCCAAGCACTTAGAGCTACTAATGTTGCCTCTGCAAGGACCACTCTGCCAGCCAACTATTCCCCTCCCCTGTGCCCTTGCTGTTCTGTGCATATTCAGAGACGCAGCTATACATCTCTTCCTACATAGAACCTATCCTACCCATTTTTCTCACCCTTTGCCTGGGGGAGAATCGACCACTCCCTGTTTTGTGGCCTAAATCACAGTGTCCACTTTCCTTTTTGCCTCTCTTGACTATACCATGTAAACTTCTTTTAGGGCTGGGACCACATCATATTCATCTTTTAACCCCATTGCCTATTGCAGTGCCTAGAAATAGTAGGTACCTAAAATATAGATATCAATCAATCAATGAATGATAAAAATTTATTAAGAACCTATTAGATGCCTAGATCTGTGTTTCCTGATATAAGTAATAAAAATACAAGGTAAAAAATCATATAAAAACATTGAGAGAGAAGTCAAGTGAATAGGAAAATATCCTTACCATCTAAGAGTTTGCAGACAGCTTGGGAGACAAGTGTAATGCACATGAATTAATGCACCCACGGTACGGTGCTCATGTTTCCCAAACCTCAGCCACTGTGTGACACTTTCACAACTTTTGTCATATCTGTGAAATATCTGAACTATTGTGCCTTAAATTTTCTATATATCACTTATTTTATTTAATTAAATCTATTTTTTGTGAAAATGGAAAGCTAATTATCATGTACCACAAATAAAAGGGAGCCTCAAAAATAAATGCAATGAAAAGAAACAATAATATTATTAAATGACAGATAAATACGGAGGCTCCAAGCCTGTTGTTGTTGCCAGTGGTGGTAGTAGTGTTAAAAATGGAGATTAGAAAGTGTTGAGTGTTGGGCCGGCCCCGTGGCTTAGTGGTTAATTGCACGCGCTCCGCTGCTGGCAGTCCGGGTTTGGATCCCGGGCGCGCACCAACACACTGCTTCTCCGGCCATGCTGAGGCCGTGTCCCACATATAGCAACTAGAAGGATGTGCAGCTATGACATACAACTATCTACTGGGGCTTTGGGGGGAAAATAAATAAATAAATAAAATCTTTAAAAAAAAAAAAAAGAAAGTGTTGAGTGTTAAAACATAAAGTATAGAACCAAACTGACACTGAATGTCAAGGTTAGGATCAGGGTTAAGCCTTCTCCTTAATCTATTAATAAAGAGATAGAATTTGGAAATCCCTTTCTCCCTATATACTCAAAATTATTTAGTACTATTCCCAAAATATTTCTCATATCATCAGAGATGTCATCCCACACTGGGAAACACTGTACTAACCTATGAGCTACTGACAGGAAAGCCACAGATATTCAGAGAAGAAAGAGTTCAGCTTCATGGAGAAGGCACCGAGGGATGAGTAGGAAGAATGCAGAAGGGAAGGGGACAAGAAGGGAAGGAAGACAAGGATCCTTTTGACATGTGCAAATGGAATAGTAAAGAAACCATCCAACTAGAGGGAAGGTGCAAGTCAGGGAAAGAAGAAAATGAGGTTGGGTGGGTTGAATGAGGGCACGTTATGGTTCTAAAGTACGGAAGAGAAGTCTCGACTTACTGCCTTAGGTACTAGGTAGGCAGCCAGTGAGGCCTCTTGAATAGAGGCCTGCCTTGATGATGTGCACTTTGGCAGCAATACTCAGGTTGGGGGTAACACTCTGACCTATGGTTTATGTCCTAAGTTGAAGCAGAGCCTGAGACTGGGATTCTTGTTCAAGTGATTTATCCGAGGAGTGCTCTCAGGAGAAGAGGAATGGGGAAGCAGGATAGAGCAGGGGAAAAAGTGCAAAAATAGGGTCTCGGTGGGAGATTAGCTTCAGTCTGCTCCTCAGGGAAGCTCTGGAGCACGAATTGCTCCTCAGAGTTGGTCCCCACTGGGGCAAGGGGGCTGGGCTTTTGTACCCCCTACAGCAGGCATTGATGGAAGTCTGCCCCAAGCCATGGGGGAGGGAGAGTGTAGCTTCCAGGGGGAAGTAACTCCCGTTTGGTCAAGGGCAATTATCCAATAAGGAAGCAACAGTGAGTTGTTAGCAGCCAACACTTGTAGCAGCTAAGAGATGCGTCCACCATCCAATTCAGGGCATCTGGGCAAGGCACCACCAGGATCCCGTTCATCCACACAAGCACAAGTCTAGGGTAGCTTGTGGGTCAGCAACCCAGCAAACAGCAAACAGCAGTCAAACAGCATTTGACTTATAATCAGTGTACTGCTTTAAATTTCAAACAGGATAGGGAAGCAGAAGGATCCAGGTGACCCTCAGCCAATCATTTCACCTCTCTGGATTTCAGCCTTCTTTTCCACAAAACAAAGAGACTAGCCTAAGTAATCTCCAAATTCCCTTCCATCTCTGCAATTCTTTGATTCTAAATCAGGGCATATTCTGGTAGGTATCAGCTGCCACAGCAAAGCAAGGGGACCCCAGTTCCATAGGCAGATAGAAATCAGGAGGACTCAGAGATCACCAGCAATACAAGGTGAGTAGCTCAAAGTCTGGGCAAATGGATCAAAATTGGAAAGTCCTGGGGCACAGCCAGCCAGGGCAAGCAGACAAGAAAATACATATGAGAAAATATCACCAAGGAGAATCTGGGCTCTGCCTGAACACTGGACTCACGGAGGTTTGCACCGTACAAGAATCTACTGGACCAAGGCCTGGGAAGCTTAGAGGCCAAAGAGAGAGCTAGTGAGTGAGGGTAACTGCCTGGAAAGACCAGTGAAGAGGTAGCAATGCCAGCTGTAGCAGGTAGATCAGAGAGAAGGGAACCTGTCAGGAGGCAGGTGACAGTGCTCCCTGACCTGGCGATGGGAGCCACAGGAGGGCTGGAGGCTGAGAGAAGGAGAGGCAGTGTGATGAAAGGTGAGATCTTCCTTCGCAGGTATCCAGGTTCCAGACATCTTGGACCCCTAGGTCCCGCTCTGACCTCCTCTGATCAGTGTTTCTTCCTCTTGCTTCCTATCACTCACTCCAAAGGACTCATGACCATATGATGCCTCTTGTCATTTTCACCCAACACCATGGTTTGGTATGGGAGATGGTGGGGGACAGGGACAGGAATCCCGAGGCTCAGGGCTCGTCAGTTGCTGGGTCAAGATTAGGTATTAGCACCCCCGAGCTGCTCTGTGGTGGGAACTCATGAGCAGACCTGGGCTGGCCTTTTAGCAGGAGGAATTTCAGAGTCTGGCAGGGTCTGTTTGATAACCACCTGGGAAGGGCTGAGGGCAAAAGCAATCTGGATACCCCTCCTCCTCTCTATAACATCTGTTTTGAGGCCACAGTCGCATTTTGCCTCTCATTTCCAAAACCACTGGGGCTAGCTGACTGCATTGTCTGCTCTTCTCCACAGGGCTGGACAACATACACAGGATCACATCCCAGGGCCGCTACGAGCTGCGTGTGGACATGCGGGACGGCCAGGAGGCCGCCTTCGCCCACTACGACAAGTTCTCTGTCGAGGACAGCAGAAGCCTGTACAAACTGCGCATAGGAGGCTACAACGGCACTGCAGGTACCCTGGCCCCTGAGCAGACCCCGAGGGCGATAGGCATGCAGCAGGACCAGGGCCCCCACATTCTAGGCCTGAGCTGCACCGGGCAGCAGCAGCACCCACAGAGTTCATGATTTCCCTGCTAGCCAGTGAGGAGGCAGAGGGCTGGGAATCACTGGCTCTGGTCCAGGCTGTCCTAACCACTCAGGTGACCTGAAATCAAATTCTCACGACTTCGGTTTCCTCATCTGGAAAATCATAATAGCGATGCCTGCGCTACTTCACAGAGAAGTTAGAAAAAAATGTGATAAATGCAGTGAAAGTGCTTTTAAAGTTAAAAAAATGTGCAATGTAACGGCAAGGGATGATTTTTCATGTCTAGATTAATCAATATGTGCTCTTATCCAATTAGAGCATAATTATCTATTGTCTGGGTAGAAATCGCCCCTGCAATGACATCTCGGAAAACCATCTTTGAACTAATGAACATAAAACAGATGACCCCATATTCTGAGATGACCCCCTCATCAGCAGTAATCGTAACACTCCCATGAAGCACAAACAACAGCACTTAAATGTTCCTCAGTGGCCACATTTCTTTTCATTCCTCCACAGGAACCACATGCATGGTCACGTTTTCCATATAGATTTTTATGACACTTCTACCAAATACAACAACCATCTCTGTGAGCTCTGTTGCATTAATAGTTTTATTGGAACATAATATCAATTCTGCTTCTTAGGCTTTGCCAGTCTCTTTCCTGGGTTCTATTATAGTGCATTTCATAAAACCTGTTTTGCCAAATATTCTACCGTTTCGTACATGGAGTTATTGGTCCTTTCATTAACTCCAATTTTAGGGCTAAATGCTAGCGTATAATTTTAGTAACATTTTTATGACTCTTGGAATTCGGAAGATCATCAAGGTGTTGCCTTTCCAAACACTGCATTTGTCCAATGATTTTCTCTTCTCAGCCAGGTATTGCTACTCCGAAGGGAAGAGACGCTTTCCTTTGTTATTGTTCATATTAGATGTTATTCCCAATGGCAATCAGACCAGCTCGAAGTGCCCCCAACACAAGGTGTAATTGACACACTTTGGGAATAAAATAGCCATTGAAATGGAGGGTATTAAACAAAATTAAACAAAAGCATCTCTTATTTCTCCCATGGAAAGAGGAGCAGGCCCTCCCACTCCCTCACGTATCCCACCTTCCTCTTCACCTGCTCCAGGCCGATGCTTTTTTCTGTCTACTTTGGGCCCAGCCACTGCTGCCTATTTGCAGCTCTATCTCCGCTACCCAGCCCCACAGAGGTCAGTACTGCTGGACTGCCTGTGTTCTACACTCATGTCTCAGAAGCAAACCCCGCCAAGAATTTGGCCAATCATCATAAATTAATTGCAGTCTGACCTCTCACCTCAAATATGTGGTTCAACTTCCTCAAAAGATGAAAACCTGGGTGTATGTAGGCTGCCCCCTTCTCTAGCTAACTCCACACAATGGTTGTTCTTTCTAGACTGGAAGGTCTCCAGGGAGGAAGAGCCCATTCTCTCTTTCTGGCATTTACTATTGCCCAATTCTCTGGGCCTTTGTTTTTAGTTGTTTCTCATTTTTACTGGCCCTGCTGGCAACAATCCATCCCCATCCCATGGCCTCCAATCCAAGTTCAGCCCCTTCTCCTGTCCCCATTTTCAAGGCTCCAGAAATCCAAATCTCTAACTAGGACTCTTGTTGGATTAGAACTGAAAATCCCAAATCAAGTTATCAATAAGAGGTTGTTGAGCAACTCCTAAAAGTTCTTTGTGCAAACTGTGGGGACTTGAAGCATAAGACATAGCCTCTGTAAGAACTAAACATCTATTTAAAGAAAAGAAACAATTAGGAAGTAACTCACCACAAAAGAAATGGTACTCACATCCAGTTTAATGGGCGTTCAGAGAAGGAGAGTCCGAGTGGTTGAAGAAGGCTTCATGAAGCCAGCAGCATTTGACTGGGATCCAATCAAAGGAAGGCAAACCCTAGAAGAGGAGTCACAGAAGGAGCAGTTACTGTAGAGGGAGGGAAGGCATGAAGGGCCTGGCTGCCCAGGGCAGGGTGTGAGCTCAGAATAAATAGAAAGAAGACTGATGGAGTAGGATGGAGCCAGATCCCAAAGGGCCTTAAAACCGAGAGGAGTTCAGTCTTAATATGGTGGGCGGTGGGAGCCATGGTGGGTCCTGAGTAGCATAATGGAGGTGGGGTTGTAGGAAGATCCATTTGGCAGCCATAAGTGGGATAAAGTAAATCTGAGTGAAGAACAGAGACCAGCTGGAGCTGCTGCATTAATCCTGGTAGGAGATAATAGGAGCCTTGTCTAATGTCAGGAATTAAGAGAAAGGTATAAATCTGAACAGGGGTTTGAGAGAGAAAAATGAAGACTTAGATAATGTACTGAATATGTGATGTGGATATATGAAGCAGAAATGGGACAGGGAGCCAGGTTTTGAGAGGAGATAAAGACCAACATTGGGATCAAACCTGAGACAACACAGGCCACATCAGAATGGAAGCTGGAGAGAGTTGTTCCAGGAGACTAATAAGGGCAAATTCTATACTACAGAGGGATAAGCAGGAGAGGAGAAGATAGGAATGTGGGTAGAGACAACATAGTCAAGGAATTGATGGTAAAGAAAGGGTCACTAGATAGTACGGTTAATTCAAGAATTTTTAAGATAAAGGATATAAGTATGACTTAGGACAGGAGGAGGTGAAAATGCTAAAAAAAAGTATTAAAAAAAAAGAAAAAATAAGAAATATTTTCTGCCTTCTCTAGGACCTGGAGGAGAAGGAAAAGAATCCGTTGCAGGTGGTGAGATTAGCTCTAGATGGACACAAAACCTGATTCATTGGAGACTAGGAAGGGAAGATGAAAATGATGTGATAGAGACAATGACATGTTGAGTTAGGGACCCAACTGGCCCGAGGGGATCAGCCTTCCCCATAAAATAAAGATCATCCCCCAAGAGTTCACTTGTGGTGGGAAGCATTGAAGGCATTGAGTGGCCACTACAAGTGTGGACTTGGAAGCCACGGAATCAGAACTATGGTCTCTCCTAACTTAAAGCAACCTCAGAAGCATCTAAGATAACCTTCACTCAAAAGCATGAGCCCCTTCACAGCGTCTCTAAGCACAAATCCTGCCAAAAGAGTGGCTAATAGTTATAAATTAATTACAGTCTGATCCCTCACCTCAAATACTCAATTCGTATGAGTCCCCAGCACAACATTCCAACAAAAGAACACCCAGCCTCTGTTTGCCTCTGAGAGTAGAGATCTCACCACATCTCCAGCAGTCTATCCCATTTGTGAACAGCTCTAATATTTAGGTGATTTCTCCTCATACATTTAGCCAAAATATGCCTCCTTACATGTTTCCACCTACTGATCCTCATACTTCCCCAAAGAGTTCACTTAATTTTTTTTTTTTTTTTTTACTCAATAGCCCATGAGATATTTGGAGACAATGATCATGAACTTGGTCTCCCCTTCAAGCCTGCTCTTCCCCAGGATACAGCGCCGGTTTTCCCAACCACTTCTCCTCTGACACCATTAGGATTTTTTTCATTATCCTGTTTCCTATGAACAGGAACTCTTGTTTTCTGATGTTTCTCTTCACATGTGGCACCAAGTGCTAAATGTGGGGTTTTGAGTGTGGGCTGACCAGGCATGATGAGCCATGGAGAAAGCCAGGCTGCATGGTGGTGACCCAGATTGGCCCAGGTCACCATGGCTCATCACTATCTCCTCTAGAGACAAAAGAACCATGAATGTCTGTGTCCCAGTGCAGGCCTGGAGGAAACACACAGGGGTGGTGAGGTGGAGCTGAGTGGACAGAGTTCTGAGCAGAAGTCAGAGGAGTGAGGAAATGAATTAGAGAGAGAAGCATGGAAGTAGTTGAACCCAGGGGTAAGGTGGAGTAAGAGTTTAGCGTAGCCTGGCTGATGAACCGGGTAGAAATGGGAGAGGTAAGTGGAAGATCACTTAAGCGGAGGCCAGGTTTGTTGGGAGGGGGTCAAATGTCCAGAAAACCCTGACAAAAGAGTGACAAATTGAACAGCCTCACAAATGTGTCTTTTTTCCAGGGGACTCCCTCAGCTACCATCAAGGACGCCCTTTCTCCACAGAGGACAGAGACAATGATGTTGCAGTTACCAACTGCGCCATGTCATACAAGGGGGCTTGGTGGTATAAGAACTGCCACCGAACCAACCTCAATGGAAAATATGGGGAGTCCAGGCACAGTCAGGTAGGTGAAGTTCTGCCACTGTTATGAGTGACCCAGAGCTGTGGAAGCCACAGTCCCTTAGGTTTATGTTTTAAATGCACATGTGGATCTTACATTTCCCTTTTAAAAAGAAATACTCAGAGTCTCGAGAAAGGACTAGCATGAAGATGAAAGTAATGCAGACACTGGGATAGGGCAGGACTGAGTAGAAGCCAGAGGAAGAAAAGGAAAGCATCTAGTCTCAAGAGCTAGAACTCCCCCTGAGAAGCCCTTGACAACCAGTCAAGTTCCATTTCATTTCCTCATCTAGAAGATCCCATGAAGAGCTTATCAATTCCAGGGACAGCTTCACTGGCTCAGCTTCATCCTAAGAAGTGACCTAGGAAGGGAGAGATCAGAAATACCAGTGTAAACTGGGCTATCTTTCCTCTAAGAGACTATAAGTCCATAGGCTGGGCTGGGTGATAGGCTGACCAACTGGACCAACTGAGACTTTCCCAGTTTTAGCACTGAAAGGCCAGCAGCCAGGGAACCCCTTAGTCTTGGGTAAACCAAGATGGTTAGTCAACATAGGTGGAAACCACCTGACTCTCCTATCAGGAGTGAGCAAACAGTTACTCTTTTTAGAATGCTTCTACACTGTTGGGATTTTGAAATTCAACACTGGTTACTGGTGCATGCAAATCCCGAAAGCCAGAAACCTAAAGCTGGCAATAAGGAACGACCTGCAACACATTCCCAATAAAGACCCAGGCCATGGGCACGTTTAAAAAGAAAAGCTGGCAAGAGACTCTCTTCTTTTGACCTTGTTGGCAACTTGGCCATAAGCTTCATGTTAATGGAAAATGGCCAAATCCATACCTTGGACCCCCCACTCCCATCATTCCCCTTCTTTTCAAGCTGGGGGTTCTGTTGAGGGGGCGGGGTGATCTGATGTGCTTTTCTTTCTCTTTCCAAGGGGATCAACTGGTACCATTGGAAAGGCCACGAGTTCTCCATCCCCTTTGTGGAAATGAAGATGCGCCCCTACAACCACCGTCTCACGGCGGGGAGGAAACGGCGGTCCTTGCAGTTCTGAGTAGTGGGAGGCTGCGAGCCAACTGACCTTTTCTGTCATTTGTTTGTATTTTATAATATGAAGCAAAGGGTGGGGGGTAATAGTAACGTGCTTTGCAACATATTAAGAGTGTTTAAAGGAAGAAGGATGTAGCAGGAATCAGTTGAGGTTCAGCCGCTCATGGTTTCTGCTGCCCCTGGGCCTGACCCTCAGTCTCCATTCTCCCCCTGCCCAGTCATCCTTAACCTTCCCCTCTTTTCCCACCAAGGAGGAAAAGTGGGAAGCCTTCTTAAAAGATCAATTCAAAGGCAAGTCCTGGAGTCAGACTGTCATGGTGACAGGCACGTGCCTTCTTTCCTTGCCCTCCTTCTGAGATGCCCTACATCCGGATGTTCATGCCTAGTCACTGCCTTTGATGGCCAGGTTCTCACACTGGCCCAGAGAAGAAACCTCAGCAAGAGAGCTTTGCAAACAACTCCCCTTAAGAGAAAACACATTAACTTCACTCTGTCCCGACAAGCCAAGTCCTCTTAAATGGGCCAAAGATTCTCATCTTCTGACACTCTTACTCTTACCAGCTGAGTGTCCTCTGTTACCTTTTGAGAGTTCTGGCCTCCTTTCCAGCCCCAATCGATCCTGTGCCTACTTGCATCCTACCCTGAGACCCCCATGGCCCCACAAGCCCAACCTCTGCTTGAACTCTAGTTCCTGAGGCATCCGTTGCCCATGCCTGGCCCTGAGCTGCACGGTGGCTGTGTCCCTATGGGTCATAAATCACTGCCCCCTCCCTCAGGTCAGAGAGCAACTTTCTTTGGGAGTGGGAAGGGGAGATGGTTGTGAGTTTTAGCACGTTGGGGTCAGGCATTAAGGAAAGGACAGAAGAAGTGGAAATCAGGGCACCTGCCATTGAGATGACAGGTCCCGTGGGGAACACAGATCTTACCTAGCTCCATTTTCTCTATTTCTGGATTTTTTTTTCTGAATTGCAAACTGAAGTTCTCATTTCTGTCTCAGCCAGGCTCTCTTTAGTGTGGGCAGTGTAATAAGAGTCAGAAGGAGAAGTTATATGACCAGCCAGCCAATATCCCGACTGATATTCCCTGGGAAGAGGCAGAATTTGGGGGTTTTGGTTGGGGGTTCTTCTCTTTTTTCGTTCTCTGGGAAACAGGAATGACCTCCTTAATGAGGTGAGATCATGAGAAGCCTTTCTCTACCTTCTTTTGTTATTCCGCCTTTGAGAGGAAAAATGAAAAATGCCAGAGGAAATTACATTTAGAAATCCAGAGGTGAAGAGGGGCAGACTGTGGGCCTACCTCCGTCTTATGAGATGTGCTGTCTTCACTAGCATGATTTGATTTTTAAGCCCAAGAGAGCCGGAGGTTCTAGAAGCCGTGATCCTTCAACTTCTCCAAATCATGTTGGCTGCAGCTGTCCTACAGCATCTGCCGAATCCGTGCCCATTTCCCCCTGCTGCCTTCTCCCTTTCCTCTCCTTTTCTATAATGCCCATGTTTAGTCGAACTGGAGCATCTTGTACTTTTCCCAACCAATTACTGGATCAGCCTGTGAGCAGGCAACTTTCTAATGGAAACATCCACAATCTAACCAAGCTCTGAGGACCAGGAAGGGACGGTCCCTTGGGTGGATGACCACACTTCTGAAGTGATGAGGATGAAGTCAGCTGCCACTTCCTGCAGCCACTCTCCCTTCAGCAGGCCTCCAAGCCCTTGTTCACTGCTGTGGTGTGGGTGTGACTGACAAACCCGGTGCTAAAAAATGGAGGTGATGTTTTTACTTCTCAATTCACCGTGGGCTTTAAGAAAACTAGGAGAAAGAGAAAGAAACAGGAACAATCCTTTCAAGAAACCTGTAAATTAAGTAATATTCAGCTAGAGAGTGGGACACCACTGAACAGTAGGAAGCAACTGAATGAGGAACTTGGGGGCTGAGCTGTAGGCCCACTGCTGCCATTTTGTTGCCTATATGACATCAGGGAGGTCTCTTCACCTCTCTGGGCCTCAGTTTCCTCACGTATTGAATGAAAGCTTAGATTGCAATGGCTTCTAACTTCCCTTTCAGTGTTGACAGTCAGTAATGCTGGTCTCTGATCTGAAAATCTGCATAGAAATTGGCATTGGTGAGAGAGCACAACTAACTAATGAAAATTCACCAGAATCCTTGCTTTACTTGAATGGAAGAAGGAAGGAAGGGAGGGAGGGAGGGACGGCGGGAGGGAGGGAGGGAGGAAAGAAGAAAGGAAGGAAGGAAGGAAGACTGATTTAGAAGTCATAAGTAAAACACACACACAGAGGAGAAAACATTGCAAAAAAGATTCCGCCAAGTAAGAGGCTGAACTCATTTTGTCCATAACAGCAGAGCCCGAGGACCTGGGTGGTGCCAGTACAGCCCACCTCATCAAGGGAACTGAAATGGGAAAAGATTGTGAGTCCTTGTGTCGTCAGTTCAGGTGAAAGCCAAAAAACATCAGTGGAAACCAAAACCTGCCTTTTATTGGAACCATTTTACTCTATGGAACATTTTTATAAATAGTTTCAGCAGCATTGTCTAGATTCATTTTAAAGAATTTTAAAGCAAGAAAGGGACTTCAAAGATGAGCACACCCAACCTTCTATAAAAAGATTTATACATTCTTTTTATTAAATACAGTGATTTTCTCACAAGCTTTCACCACGTTTAAGAGACACTGTGCTCATTATCTCCCCAAGGCCCATGGTCAACTTGACTCAAAGTTTTGTAACTTGACTCACTGATTCCTGCTTATCCTGTTCCTCCAAGCACATGGGCTCTTCCCACGGGTGGATCCAGTAAGCACTACTCACAAAGCACTCACCCTGAGCACACCAAAGTTTCCCTCAAGGGACTCAAAAGAAATAGAAGTGAACCCTGCTCCGAGACAGTTTAACTGCAGACACATCAGGATATGTACTTACAAAAACAAAAGCACTCTATCCCTGATTGCACTAGACCGACTGCCTAGACCCAAGATCCAGACAGTTTTTTCTTTTTGCATTTCCCCATCAGATAAAGATAGTTTCCAACACAGTAAACTCACATTCTCCAGGGTTATTTCTGGAAGGTGAGGGGGTGGATGTAAAGGGCGGGCTGGAGAGACAGCAAATCTGTGGAAAACTGCTGGCCTTTAGACCAGATTTCACTGGAGGAGGGAGACTTTCTAAGTGTGACCACGAGGTGGCGATCACAGACCCCAGCCACCTCCTGATCATGGGGTTGAGGACAGCAAGTCCCTCCAGGTTTCCAGGAGAACTCATACCAAACCAGGACCCAGGAAAATTGGCCAACTGATTTGCACAGGAGATTGATTCGTAAAAGAACAACAACAAAAATGGCAGCAAGAGAATGCAGAGCAAACTTCCATAAATACAGTCACGTGTCGCTTAATGAGGGGGATGCATTCTGAGAAATGCATCGTTAGGCAATTTTGTCATTGTGTGAACATCATAGAGTGTCCTTACACAAACCTAGATGGTATAGCCTACTCCACAACTAGGCTGTGGGGTACTACTCTTATGGGACTACCGACATGTGTGAAGTCTGTCATTGACCAAAACGTCCTTCTGCAGCACATGACTGTAATGACTATAGTTAAATCCACCCTACCCTTCACCTACCAGCTCCTCCACTCCACTAGTCATAAACTGGTAAGACACCTCATACTCTGTTCCCTTCCACCTGGGAACCAACCAGCTCCCCGCACACTGAAACTGTTGTTTCAAAGACAAACCTGAAGAACCAAGGTTGCCAGTAAGGCCAATGACAAACCAAACAATCCTAATCACATTAGACTTTTAAAATCCAGGCCCAGAACAGAGCTGTAGATTATGGGACAAAAAGTCATTATGGAATCTTTTCAAAGAGCCCTTTTAAAAGCATCAGTTAAGAAAGGGCTTATGAGTTCCTCCTTGTCCTCTGGAACCTGTGAGAACAGTGGATGCACCAAGCTGAAGGGGTTGAAATGGACTAGCTGGTGACCCAGATTTGCAAATACTCCTGAGGCATGAAAACATTTTTCCTTTTTTTTTAACTTCATCTCAGAATTTCAGGAAAGGTGGAGCCGCTTACTCAGGATATATGCTTTTCTACGGCTTACTTTCTTATTACCAGACTGCTCTTCAACCTAATTCCTTACTTCCATTTCTTTCTCTCCAAAGGGGGCACTCTACTTGCATCTCACTATCCACTCTTAAAACTTTGATAAAGAAGCTTGGAAAGATTCACACTTCAGTTCAGTTTCAATAATTTCGCAGAGGGTGGGGCAATTTGCTTGCACTTGCCTCAAACTTGCCAAGGCTACAAGAAGGGGGCTTTGGGACCTCAGAGGCCTGGGGGAATCTGTAACGTTTGGGAGTCTGCCTCTTGCACAAAGCTCCAGATACCAGAAGCTGCTGACTCGGCTCTGCCTAACCTCCCTGGGTGGTCCCTTTTCCTCCAGGTCACAATGACAGAGAGGTTCTATGCTCTGAGGGAAGATGAGTCACAGGGCTGGCTTCAGGATTTTGCCTATAGCCTCTCTCTGGCTGTACATCAGGGTCCTTTGGCCAAGATCCTCAAGATCTTTGACTAAATGCTTCCCTAAACCTTTGTTTCTTCCATAAACCAACCCTGCATGGATGTGATAAGGTCTCCCTCAGCAATACCAGAGCATTTTGGCATGAGCAGGCCAAAGAGAACTCACGGACCAAATGAAAACCTCCAAAAGCAAGTAGGGAAAAGACTCTAGTATACTTTGCGAGGGTGTGTTGGTGTAGCTTCAGGTCCAGTTGGAAAGAAGGGCTCTGGTTCATCCTAATTGTATCCACACTGGATTCGCTTATGTCTGTTCTGTATTCTTCAAGCTTTGAGAAACAGCTGGGAAGAAGAAAAAATAAAATATAAAATATGAAATAACATAAAAAAGAAGCCAATGGATCATTGGAGACTAAAAGCAAGGCTTCTACAGATGGCGCCAGAGTAAAAATGCAGAGACCAGTGAGGGGCCAGGGGAAAGAGATCACATTAGTTCCTTGAGTTCTGGCCCCCAAACTCCCACCAGAGCTCCTGTCAGTTCACCTACATCACCTGAGGAGAAACTAAGGCACCAGAGGCCTGTCACAGAAAAGAAGCCGCAGGGCTTTCTGTGCTTGCTCAGCCAGTCCTGCCTGGACCTCACTTTTTCTTCACAAGCAGTCACAAGCCTGACTTGTCATCTCCAGCATTTCTGATTAATTTTTCAAGGTCACTCCTTGCCTGAAGCATGACTTCATTGCACCTGCAACACTTCATTGTCCAAATGTCCTTGGCAAACCTCACGGTCTTTGGACGGCATTGCATTTTCTCCAAACCGGAAATCCTCCCTCCTTCCCCAAGCTTAATAAGGCTACTGAAGAGCACGCAAATAGCACAGCTCTTGTTCCTCAAACAAACTCTGCCCCTCTGTTAACTTAATAAAACAGCCCCTCATTGTCTGGGCTGTGAGGCTGGGCTGATGCTGAATTTCCAGTTCAGAAACATTTAACTCTTTCAGTCTCGCTGGATCAACAATCTCAGGTACTGGCATTGGCTCATTGGCACCATGCGCTCAGGGGAGGCAGTGCAAGCATCCCTGGAGGCCTGGAACACCTAAGCCACAAGAAAGGGTTTAGGTCCAGGTGCATGGCCAGGAGGTAAAGGCGTGGATGAGAACTATTGTTTTCTTCCCGTCACTGGTTCAACAGCCCCCAGGGAGACCACGTGTTGCTTTTTAACATCTTGTCATTGAACACTAATATGTTCAACACTGCCTCCAAAAGGCCAACACACCTTCAGAGATGGAGGGGACTCTGGAAATCATCTAACCCCAGACCTCTTATTTCATACTCCAGGAAACTCAGGCCCAGAAAGGACAGGCAACTTGCCCAAGTTCACACAGCTAATTAGTAACAGAGCTGAGATCAGATCTGGCATAG